CCAGGTGATTGATACCTATTTAGAATATCAGTCACTGCTATTCATAGGTCTGTGTGGTAGTTTCTCCCTTTTTACAATTCTGGCCTTCAGTGAATGTGTCTTGATTGTCCTCCATGTTGGCTCATTCTGGGCTGGCCCTGTCTAACTGCCTACAAGATATCTAATTAACCTACCTATGTGCAGTACTGCCAGAGATGCATCTTCTCATCCCCCTCCTATCCCTTCCTCCTTCATCCCTCCCTAGAAAATTCTGGTCAAATAGAGATGCTCTGAGGATTCCATCCACTTTCTTCTTTCTCAGGAGTCACTCCTTTCTCCCCTCCGTTTTCAACTCTGTTCCCAGGGGCTGTCACAGAGGTTCCCCTAGAGGTTACAGGCTCCCAGCCAACAGCTATTTTACTGTGTCTAGTGGCTAGAACTGTCTCCCCAAAGGATGCATTCATTTGCAACCCCTGGCCCCCATGAATGTGACCCTTTTTCGAAAGCGGGCCCTTGCAGGTATCCTCAAGTTACAATGAGGTCATTCTGGACTGCGGTGACCCCTGCTCCAGTGACTAGCAGCCTCATAAGAGAAGGAAAATGGGGACCCAGACATGAATGACACACAAAGGGCAGAACACTGACATCAGAGGCGGTTTGGAGCTTCACTGCTACGAGGAACTGCAAGGATTGCAGGAAACTGCCAGACACTAGGGAAGATGGAACACATTCTCCTTCTGAGCCCTCAAAGAGGAAACAACTATTTCAACAACTTTGGTTTGTGCTTGACCTCCACAGCTGTGAAAGAGATTTCTATTGTGTTAAGACACCTATTGTGGGCTGTTACAGCAGCCCTAGGAAATTGATCTGTCCTCCTGCCCACCATTTCTCACTCTTCCTCTGCGCCAGGCACTGTTCCAGGACCCCCAGGTCTTCAACACAGACAGGATGTCACTGCTGCCCTTGGGAACCTTTGAGGACTAGATGGAAACTCACACAGCACCCTGTGCTCCAGGGGCCACAGAGGCTGCAGGAGTTTAGGGAAGAATTCATTGCTGTGGAAAGCAGATCTCTGAGGAGGAGACAGCCCTTGAGTTTTGAAGACTGCACATTCATCAGCCAGGTTTGCAGACCAAGTGAATACAGGCTCTTTCCAGCCACCAAAGCTGAGTGGGTTCCTGCCAGGCCCTTACCACCGGGAAAACAACAAATCAGATAGCCATAAGAGATAGTGGGAAAGCTCTGCTCCCACCTCCTTGGTGCCTGGATGGGAGCTGAGGGCTCAAGCAGGGAAAGGTCTTGCCTGAGGCCAGTGTCCTATGAAAGCGTGGTTCTGGACTCATGGGAAAGGGAGCCTCTCTCTCCTAGTTGTAGTATTGATTTAATTTTTTTTTTTTTTTAATTTCAGGCTGGGGATTTAGCTCAGCGGCACAGTGCCTGTGTTCAATCCCCAGTATCAAAAAAAAAAAAATTTGTTTTTCTCACTGCACATCAGCCCCATTTGCAGGCAGGGAGAAATGTTTCAGGCCCTGGCAGGACAACCTGTCCTTAGTCATTGTCACAATGCAGCCTTACCCTGGCTTTTGCTGCTGTGACACAGGGCAAGAGGCAAGTTCTCCATAGGCCCTCTCAGACCTCAAGTCCCTGTCTCAGGAAGCTGGGTTTCCCCCTCTTGCTTGGCCAGTGGCCTCTGCTTCCATATCAGCACTGGGTCCCTTGTTCCTCTTTCCTCTCCCTGGTGGGTCCAGGGCTTCCCTTGGGAGGACTGGTGTGTGTAGGGGGGGTCTCCTGAGTGGGCTGGCTGTCCCCGTGGGAAGCCAGAGCTGGTTAGTTCATAACATGACTCTGAAAGACTGCAGGGGATCAGGCTCTAGCAGAAGATTTATAAATCCTGAAGGGTGGAACTGCCTCCCCTTTCCTAGCACTTTAGTTTTCTAGGGGTCTTCGGGAAGCATGTGGGAAGGGACAGATGGATGAGGCTGAGTTACCAGGTCTCTGGAAGGAAGGAGAAGGGCTTGGAGTATAAGAGTCCTGTCATGTCACCTCCTGCAGGAAGCCCAGATTCCTCTTGTCAGATTTCTGTGGGAGCCCAATTCATAGCTGTAGCCCCAGGCTTACGCCAGGCAGGGCAGAGTGGAGCTGGAAGGGACCGAACACGTCACAGATGGGGAAGACAGGCCCAGAGAGGGAGAGGGAACATGCTTATGTCACACAAGCAGCCATTGCACTTCTAGTTCCCAGCAAAAAACTATTTCCCCTAAAGGGAAGTCTCCTGCAGCCAACATCCTATATTCTGTAACCAGAGAAGTGTTGCTTGGGCAGAGTTGTTTTGTCTTTCCTTCTAAAATCTGATATTATGCATACTCATAAATGGAAATGGCCTGTAAGTTTCCCTCCTAATGCTGAACTTGTCTGGATATTCTGGCCTCCTAAAATGAGCTAGGGGAGATTCTTTCTCTCTGAATCTGTTTTGTCTAAAGTTTCCTTTATTCTATTGTTCTTTGCCTAAGATATAAGGTTGGCTTTCTAACTCACTAATTTTCAGATCTTTATCTTAATAAATGATTTAAAACTCTGAAAGGGAAAAAAATCTGCTGACACTGCCATATATATATATATATTTATATTCTCTATGGCCTCAATATTACACACCAGATACACATGCATCCCCTTACTTAATCACTACTTAGTCATTAACTCGACCTTATTGTAAGGCTCCTCTTAACCAACCTATAAATCCCAGCAATAAGGCCCTGACAAGTGGGCAAGAGACACACAAACAGATCCCCCACCCTCACGCAGGGCAGCTTTCTGTCTTCTGCTTTTCCCTCCTAATAAAGCATCTTCCTTTAAAAATTGCATCCCTTTAATTCCTTCCTGGTACTGTTTACAATCCTGGTTGCCTGCTCATCCCAGGAGCAGCAATGCCCACCCTGGACACAACAGAAGCAGCATGCTGGAAACCTCTTTTCCCTCCTTTCCTTCTCCACCAGAACTGACATGGTCAAAATGGACATTTGTAACACAAATGTCAAAACAAGTGAATGACAACATTGGATTAATCGAACATCAGTGACTAACAATTATTGAATACCTGAAGACACTCTTGAGTCCTTCTCAAGGATGACCTCCTTTAATTCTTGTAGTAATGGGTACCAAGTGCCAGCTACCATCCAGATGCTATCATCTCCATTGATAGATGTGGAAGTAGAGGCATAGAGAAGTTAAGAAAGTTGCCTGGGAAAAGGAGCTGAGCCAGGACTCACACTGAGCATCCCCGCCCTGGCATCTATGTCTGACAGCCCAGTAGCTGCCCAGGAAAGGTGAGGATTGTGATTATTCCTATCACACAGAGTGGAAAACCAGCTGCCTTGCCCTATCACTTGCAAGCAAGGGCAAGCACATCTTTTGTGATGACCCTAAACATATTTAGGATTAGACAGATGACAAGTGGCAACCTTTGTGTCTGTAGCATTCTTTTCGGAGAACAGTTAGTCCTCACATTCTTGGAGAGGTGACCAGGTGGGAATCACCACCATGGGGATCTCCAGTAGGAAGGGATCTGGATGCAGAGCCAGGGCTCACCACTGTGGGGGCGTGGCTGCCTCCACCCACCCTGAGGCCCTGGAATTCACTGCTTCAGGATATGAAGAACAAATACTGGATTTGGACTGCTGTCAAATGGTCTGATGGGCTCTTCAGGCACAAATGAGGAGTTTTGGCTTTTTGTCCCTGGTTTTGATGACCGGAGTTCTGCAGCAGAAGGCTCATTTGCTGCTGTTCTCTGCTTCTCAATTAAGGAACCACCAGAAACAGCTGCTTCTGTGTTTTTTGAGTTCCAGGATGAAGGGAAGGAGGAAGGTAGCACCCAAATTGGCTAGGAGTTGCCCATGGTGCCTTGCAGGTTGAGTTGCTCTCTGCCTGCCATGCTGCAACTAACCAGCCTGGAGCATTTTTCTCCTGCTGATCTGGAACCTGTGCCCTGGAGGCCCCTGGATAGGAAGAGCAGCACTGGTCCATCCAGGGGAACATCCCAGCTGCTGACCCTGCAAGAGTCTGAGATTTGCAGAGCCTCTCTATGTCCAGATGTGAAATCGCCATCAAAGGCCTTCTCTCCTGCTTTGAGGGTGATCGTGAGAGTCCACTTGGATAAAGGAGAGAGGTGGCTTTGTCAACTGTAAAGCAGGGGATTATATGAGCGTGAGCAGTGCCGCTCAAGAGCCCTGTTTAGAGCTGAAGGAGGAGCTCAGCGGCAGAACATTTACCTGGCGTGCGGGAGGCTCTGGATTCCATCTGCAGCACAGCAGAAAAGTTTAAAAAGAGGCCCCGTTTATTTCAGCCCAGCTCAGCCCATCTATTTTTCTCCCCTTTTCCACTGATCATAGGTCCACCTCCCGGGTTATTTAACTTAGTGACCATCTCTGGGCCCCTCTGAGAGCTCCAGAATGCTAGGCACTAGGAAGGGAATTTGAGAGAAAAAACAAAACAAAACAGGGGCTTGTCTTGTGGCCCTAGAGAGAGAAGTGGGGAAGACAGAGTCCCCAGGGCATGTAGTCTCCAGCAGGAAGTTTTCTGTGATCTTTATTCTTTTTAAATTTTTATCACTACATATTTACAGTACATAATGATTATATTTATGTAACACATTTCGTTCTTTTTTGTTCCTTTGTTTTTTGTTTGTTTTGAGACAAGGTCTCGCTTTGTAGTTCAGGCTGGCCTCAAACTTGCAGCAGTTCTCCTGCCTTAGTCTCCTGAGTGCTGGGATTAAAGGTGTGTGCCACCACCATCCCTAGCCTATAGGTCTTCATTCTTTCTTTCATCCTCTTCCCCTCCCCTCTTTCCCCAATGGGATCGTTATTCCTAACCCACAAAGTGAACACACCTGTGGTAACCACTGAATCCAAACATGCCCATCCCTCCAGGAACTCCTCAGGCCCCTCTCAGTCACTACTACCCTCAGGGAACCGTCATCCTGACTTCTAGCAATCAATTGACTTTGCTTACTTTTGAATTTTAAACAGCAGCATCGTGGAGGGTGGATCCTTTTGTACCTGTTGCCCTTGATGTGAGAGGCTATGTCTTGTTCCTTCAGATTGCTGTAGACAGAATTCCACAGTGCACCCAGGTGACAATGTTCACGTTCTGGTAAGGGGGGGCCTTGAGGTGATCCAGTTTGGGATGTGTTGTGAATGGTCCAGGGTGTGTCTCCTGGGTATAGAGCTGGGAGCCGAACAACTGGGTCCTAAGGTTTGTGTTTGTGTGGGTTGAGTAAATGCCAGCAGGCAGGATTTACCAAAGCTGTTAGGAAGAACTTTTGGACTCTACAGTTTACAGTCAACCGAATCAAACCCTGAGAAGGAGAGGGCTGTTTTCGGCATGGCTGAATGACCCGGTCTTTGACTCCTTCCTGTCCCATACTGACGGTACTTCCTGGAAATGTTTCAGCTACCTGAGGGGATGAAGGAGGGCACTCTGGGTCAGCTGCCCCCTGGAGCCAAAGCACTTTGTGTCATCTCTATTATATAGAAGAGCTGCTGAGAATGACTTCATTTGCTTTTTGAAAAACCTTTGGCTTTGTAGCTTTAGCTTGAAAACCCAGGGTCTAAGAGCCTCAGCAGCTGGAAGATTCTATTCTGGGTCAAGGGAGTGGGAGTGGGAAGAGTTAAGCATTGTTCAGCCCAGGAGCAGGGCTGAGGCTCAATGACATTTAAAAAATCTTAGAAGCCAGATATGGTGGCAGGTACCAGTAATCCCAGCACTCTGGGAAGCTGAGGTAGGAGGATTGAAAGTTCAAGCCCTTTTGGACAATTAAGCAACTTAGTAAGACCCTGCCTCAAAATAAATTGTGAAAAGAGCTGGGAATGTATGTAGCTCAGTGTGAAGGCCCAAGGTTCCATCCCCAGTACTTAAAAAAAAAAAAATCTTACAGCATGGTTTGTGATGTGGAGATCTCATCCCATTCTCTAAAATACAGTGCTCTAACCAAAGAGAGTGGCTTCCCAAGCCTGCAGGGTGTGGGAAGGGCTTTGCCCTGACAACACTGAGGTGGAGTTTCAACACAAGTCTTGGGGACTGTCAGGAGTGCTTTACCCATCCACTTCTGGTTTGGGTGTGTGGGAGTTTTTTGGGGTTTGGAGGGGTTTGGGTGGGGGTTTTGTTTGGTTAGTTGCTTGGTTTTTAAGCTTCTTCATTCCTGGGAGCTGTCCCTTGAAGTAGTCTGGATCTCATGTGGTTGTTCCTGTTTTTCTGCAGGAGGGGGTGACATGGGTGGCCCGTGTGTCCCTCCAGAGTGGTGGCCTTCCCTCCTGTGATAGCTGGTCTGGTTTGGTCCCATAATTTCACTTCGGGAGGGAGGCCAGCCCAGTGGCAGTGGCGGGCCCAGGGGGACGATTTTGCTTTGGTTCATAGCTCTGAGTCAACAGACCTGATGAACAGCCCATTTCCCAGGGCTGCAGAAACAAAGCCCACAACGTCTGGGCTGCTAGGGATCTGTCTGCCTGCCTCTTCCTGAAGCAGCTGTTTATTCTTTTGACAGGAGCTGGACTCAGCACCTTCCCTGCCTCTGAGCCCTGCCTCCTCCTGCGGGACAGAGTTCCTTAGAACTCTGTCATTTTGCATTTTGCTCTGGAGGGAAAGAAGCAGACGATGAGGTATGTGAAATGTTGAAACAATTTGCTTCTGCAAAGATCGGGGTCATGGGGAACCATGAGCAGGGTGCTGCATGGACCCACCTGGAGGAGATCCTGCCTGGTCCCTCCATAGCTTTGTAGTTTTGGAAGGAGACAAAGTCTTTCTCTCCAGGCAGTGGATCTGGAACCTAGAGCAGGTGGGATGCTGGCTTAGGGACTTTCGCTGTAAGTCCTGCTTTACTTTACTTCCCTTGATAGGAGCTCACTGGGCTGTGGCCAGTCATGACCATGGCTGTGGCCTGGACTTTTCTCTGCAGGGGAGGGGAGCGAGTCTCAGGGCCCCAGGGGCTGGTGTTGTGAGTGAATGTGGAGCTCTCTGGACAATGCAGAATCTTCCTTTTGTCTTACTTTGGTTCTCTCTGGAGAAATCCCTTACACAGGAATTTTAGGGCCAGGCTGCAGCTCAGTTGAGCTTTAAATGTCCTGAAGGGGATTCAAGAAAAGGCACTACATGATGTAACGCAGGGAACAGGTTGTTCTGTTTGTGATGGCTGGAGCGACAGTGAGCCGCTTATTTAGTCTGAACCCTGTCTTATTTTCCTGTGTCTGTGTTTACTCTGGCTCTTATAGTGAAAAGCATAACTGGAAACAGGCTTCATTGCACTTTTTCCCCCACAAATTGTACCATGTTTTCTCTGATGGCGAATACACATTTTAGATAGGTTTCGGGGTAATGAGGCACTGCCTTTCCTTAGCCCCAGTGCCATCCCAGTGCTGAGAGTTGGGCCTGGATGCAGAGGGTCTGCTCTGCAATCTGCTAATTCTGGGCAAACCCAGCCACCTCTGGGCAGCTACTTCCTTTTGCAAACGCTCAGGCTCCTCAGTCAAAGGGCCAAATACACAAGCAGGAGGGAGGGTAACTCGTGCTGGTCCCCAGAGGCACTCGGAGATGGCCAGTGTGAGCCTGTTAGGCTCCCCACCTGCTCCAAGGGGAAGCTGGCCCCACAATGGGTCTAGCCGGTGTTTCGCTAGCATTGGGTCAGTCTCTGCACAGTAATCATGAGGGGAGATGCAAGTCATGAGCATGCAGATCAGCCTTGCCCTTCATCAGAGAGTGTTAGAGTGGCCTAAAGAGGGCACCAGCAGCTGACTTCCTGGGTCTGAATCCCAGGCCCACCTTTTCACGCTGTGTGACCTTGGGTGTGGTGGATAGAGTGCAGTGTCAGGGTGGCTTTGGAATCCATCTGGGAGATTGCTGGAGCACAAGGGTGTGTCTGGGTATGTCCTGGACCATCACCTCAGGCACTGTCCCTGGTCCTTTTCCCTTTCTTTGGCGTTGTTCCCCTGCTCTGCCTCCCATCTGCCGTGAACTAAGCAGCTTTGCTTTACTACACCATTCTGCCTTGGAGCCAGTTGAACAGGGACTGAATCTTGTTAAAATATGAATCGAATTAATCCTCTCCTCGTTTGAGTTGTGGGTGTTGGGTATTGTGTGTCAGTGATGGGAAAGCTAAATAATACCCTGGATAAATTAGTTAACATTTCTGAACTTGTGTTTTCATGTCTATAGAATGGAATTAATAATAGAATAACTTCACAGAGTTGTTTAACTCGGCTTAGCTGAAAGACAGTTGGGAAAGGGTTTAGCCCAGTGCCTGGTCTGGCTCAGCTTAATGGCGAGGGATCTAGGCATTGCAGGACTTGAAGCTCATTCAGTTTGGGAGGCTGTCTAAGAAAGAATACAAAGTTGCAAATACAATAGCAGGTATGGACATGAGCTTTTAAACAATAAGTAGGGATACCACAACAAATAACAAACTGACCAATCCTCCAAATATGACAAAACCTAGAAAAGTACATAGTAATAAAGTGATGGAGGCTGGGTTTGGTGGTGCTCCCCTGTAATCCCAGCTCTCTGGAGGTCGAGACAGGAGGATCACCACAAGTTTGAGACCAGCCTGAACCATAGCAAGGCCCTGTCTCAAAAACCAACCAACCAACCAAACAAAACAAAACAAACAAAAAAAACCAAACACCAACCGACCAAACAACAGAATAAAATGATGGAAAAATAATATAGAAATGATTACTATTAGTAATGCATTGTCTGATGTACCCACCATATTTTGGCTGCATACTCTGACTCATCTTGACAAGGATTTTCTAGTATCGCTTTTAATAAAGGAAACAAAGCCAATTGTGCTTCCAGCATGGTTGATCAACAGTTACTTCTTATCCCTAAAAGCTTCTTTTGGTTTTACAATTTGTTACTGGTGATGGCACATCTGTAAAGCTTTGGACAGTTTCTTGCTGGGATCGCCAGAGAGCTCAGCCCTTTGATCTTCACTTGGCACATTGGGGCCTGGGCCCTGGAGGGGGGTGGGCATGAGGTGGCTATGAGGCCTGGACCCCTGAGCTGGGAGCAGCAGTCCTTGTCCATGGAGTCCCAGGGGGAAGGGTCTGGGTACTCAAGAAGGCCCAGAGACAGGTTGTTCTTGGGACCCAGGTGGGTGTACAGGTGGGCTCAACTCCTTGCCTCTGCCTGCAGCCCCAGGATGGCCACCAGAGCTGGGCAGTGATTCTCCCAGGCATGATAGCACTCTGTCTCTGGGAAGCACTTGGGGCTCTCTTTCTGCCTCCCCTATAGTAATCAGGCCCAGACTGACAAAGGGACCCGTGATGCCCAAGCTTCCTCAGCTCCTAGCAAGCTGGCCTCTGCACCCCACGCATATAGCTTGGCAAAGCCTATCTTTAGGTCATTGCTTCGAGGATCCACGTGGGCCACCACAGCCAGATAAGCTCCATGAGGCTAAGTGTCCCGCCTTTTTTAAAGGTGAGGTTTCCAGCTGTATGGATGACTTCTCATCCAGGTTCTGGGTTATCAGAGAAGCCTGTGGGGGATATTTTACAGATAAGGAGACAGAGACTTCTGTGCCTCCAGTGTAGAAGCCTCCACACCGACCTGCAGGCCTCCTGCAAGCATGGGCTTTATCTTCCTCTCTCACCCAACACTGGTGCAGGCAATGGGCAGATCTGAGGTCTGATTGGGCTGCCCTGGCTGCACCCTGTCCTGAGGCAGAGCAAGGCTGACTTGATCTCAACCATGGTGGGGGTGTGGGCTCCTCTCAATTGCACAAAGAGATGCCACTATAGAGGCCAAGATTCCTCTCCTAGGAGACCTCACAGCTCCCCTTTCAGGACTTGAATCTCTCCCCTTGAAAAGCATCGTCATTATCACAGCTGCTGTTTGTGGAGCTTTTACTGACTTCTGGTCACAATGGGATTCATAGATGTGGTCTTTGTCCTTTCTAGAACTCTATGAGGAGGACGTTAGCCTATCCCTTTGCACCTTAGTGGCTTCAGAGAGTTAATGTGCTCAAGGCACACGTCTAGGACTCTGCTGGTGTTAGAGTCTTAGCTCTAGCATAAATTTTACCTAGAATTCTAGATCTAAACTCTCTTTTACAGTTGAGGATGTGGGGCAACAAAGAAAAGTCTTGGGGCTGGTAGAGCATTTGTCTCGAATATGGCAGGCTCTGGATTCAATCCCCAGCACTGCAAATGAAACAAACAAACAAACAAACAAACAAAATGTATGGTGTCTTCTTCAAATGCATCAATACCCAGTTGGATACCATATTCTTTATTCCTTCACAACACTTGTCACCACCTAACACTATCCCATTGAGTCTCTTGCCTCTGTCGGGAATGGAGATCCCGTAGTGGTCATGTGTACCCACGTGTCTCTGGTTCCAAGAACTGTCTGGTGCACAGTAGCCTTGTCCTGAGTTGCTTGATGGATCAGTGTCTCCAGCTCCAAGAACCATGTGGTGCAGCAGCCTGGCTCCACATTGATGGGCCTCTGGCAGGGGAGGGCTGAGGTTCCTTGGGATTCTCCTGACACTGTGGAGTGCCCCTCCCAGGCACCAGGGTCTGTGCTCCTCAGGAGCTGTCACAATAGCCCAAAGTGACTGAGAGTAAAGCCAAGCGGGGGCAGTAGCTGGGGGAGGGTTTGGGTTCCAGCGAGTGGACCCTCTGGGCTTCAGGAGGTTAGAAGCTTGCTGGAAAGGTTCCATTTCCTCTGCCTATGCTGTCACCCCCTTAGAGTTAATGACTCCTGCTCTCTGAGATCGGGGCTTATGGCTATTTTAAAGAGAGGTTAACCTTTCCCTGGTGTAAGATGGAGCACACCAGGTCCACTTGGATTTCTTTCAGAGGGGGCTTCTGTTTGGAAGGCACACTTCCAGTTTGCCCAGCAAGGTGGACCTATGAGGCTCTCTGAGGGAGTGTGGGCTCTTTTGTGAGTGACAGGTTGGAGTTGTCGACAGAAGAGCTAATTTAGGGCCAGACCATATGGAAAAGTTTGTCTGTCCCTCCAGGGAAAGAGCAGTGGGAAAAGAGGAGGGGGAGGGTGGAATGAGGAAGGTGGAGAAACAACTGGCTTTACAGCCTGTCCCCACCTTGTGAAATGCCTGCACATCTTCAGCACAATCTGCCATGTCCCAGGAGCAGGGATGTAATTGGTTTCATCTAGGAGCATGTGCAGGAAGCGAGTTCTGGGTGGCTCAATTCCCAAAGTGGCTAGGAGCACCCTTGTGAGGCTCTAGGATGGATTTGGAGAGAGGTAACAAGAGCACTAAGTCAAGAGCCTCAGAGACGGCAGGAGGGCATCTCACTATCACAGGCTGTGCACCTGGGGCTGGCCAAGTTCACCCAGGGTGGGGACAGGGGACAGCACAGTTCCACTTTCCCATTGAGACAAGCTGTCAATACTCAGAAGCTCCTAATCCCATGCCTTGCCCCTTGCGTGACTTTAGAAACAAACTGATATTTCTTACCTGGTAGTTAAGACAGTCAACACCAATCTTTGGAATTACAGTTTGGAAAATTCTGAGAGACAAACACATAAGAGAATGCCTTTTAGCCCACACCGGTTGCCAAATGCCTCATTTTTGTCCATAGAGGAAAGTAAAATGTTCTTGCAGACCCTTTGGCCACCCTGCCAACCCCTCCTTCCCTGG